ATGGCACAGATAGGGTACACAGTCGGTCTAGATTAAGATGGGGGACGTCAGGAGGTATACCCTCTTAGGACGTACCCCATCGGGACTTAGCTATCTGCGTGCCCCCAGGTTGAGGGCAATCCGCCTCACCTCAGACCTGTAGCAGACCCGCTTCTGCAATAACAAGCAACCTTCCCATCTCAACGTGCTCGTGGACAAGAGTGTCTACGGCAGAATCTACATCTACTACATCTAGGAGGCAAGCCACCGTCGGGCAGGCTTTCCTTTAAATACCCCTGTGATAATGTTAACGTGAGCGCTCTCCAAATTCTTTTCTCCGTGTTCGGGGTTCAATAGATTGGTTTCTGACATAGTGTTTTCTCAATCACCAAGCAAGGTATTTGTCTCTCGCAACAAGGAAAGCGATGATTCCCCGATGAGTAGTCGAACTCCCACACGGAACACACCCATATCAACGGCGGGGTATCACCGGCAGCAACGTACAGCAGTAACAGCATGTATGTCAAGTGGCTCTTCCACCACCGGTATCCTTGCCACCATGTGACGGAAACATACAACGCCCCCCAAAAAATTGAAACGGTACACTTCGAGGGTGCTCCGGGCAACAATCTCCGACGCCTACCCTCCCCCCCCCACTCCGAGAGCACGCCCAGGGGGTTGAAATATAGTCTATGCATACAGAACGGGCCGGCATCAAGAAAAATTCTGTTCAGAAAAAAACTCTCAACTTTTCATGAAAAACATCAAAACAGGGCAAACAAACTTAGTTCAGTCTCGACCACAACGTGAGAAACGTTCCAACAAGAAACATGATCGATCTTATAATACCCCCGAGATGTAGGAAACAAGGGGTTGCTGGGCGTGTCCAATAAGAAACGTCCCCACTGATGCTGCTGCTGCCATGCTCCCACCCCCTACCTAGCTCATGCAATACTTATTGGTAAACGGGGGGAGAGGTTATTTTCGCGGCGCCCCGCGCGCCCCAGCGCCGCCGCGGGCTGCGCTATACCCAACAGCCACTGCTGCTGTACTGTTGTGTTGTTTTCTTCGCCAGAAATAAGAAAATAAGAAAAAAAAAAGAATCAGGAGGATGCTACAGCCCAAACGAATAAGAAATCCGTTTAGCCCGTTCGGATGGACACGGACACGAACGCCAACACGAAACCGCGAACGAACCCTACTCGATGAAGCTTGGAAGAACGAACGACCCCGGTTTGTTGGTTGTCTCACCCGGATGTTCTTTCTTTGCGGCACACAACAAGAGCTTCAACCTCGAAAACAGCACGCCTGCTACGTTAGTTATTAGGAGCTACCTGTGCAATTAACTCATGCCACAGCAATGGTGTCAGATTTTCCTTTTGCCGCCCCTCCCCCTCCCCCCTTCCGTCCGCCGTTGGTTAGCGTGTCCTTAGGGGATGTCACCCTCCCCCTCCCCCGCTCGCGCGCACAGGAGTAAACCCCGGAACGTGACGTGCTTTCTTCCACACCTACATTCGCTTGACCAACCCCTCGTCCCCGCCAACTCCAAGAGTGTCATATGCGGCGAATGAGCAAAAGCAACAACTACGGGAGAGACGCATCTACCGCCATCTGGGCACGTTATGTGCGTCTGGAATTTGCTTCCAAAGGCCAGGTGCCCTAGGAGCAGCTACAAACAAACACAGATTTCGACAACTGCTTTTGGCCGTACGCGCTGTTCCCAGATTCCATGGCCTTGTGATCATGCATGCGCAAGGGAATTGCACGGCATACATTCAATGACCCACTTCCAGGATTGGCCTGAATCCCTCAACAGCAGCCACGCAAATGAAGTCGTTTTCGGACTCGTTGCAATACTGCCAACGTCGCCTATTTTCCTGTTCGCAAACGCACCTACCGAAATTCAACCATTGTACCGCACCTCAATTCTTCATCTGTACCAGTGTCAGGAAGTTTCAGCAACCACTCAGCTGGTGACCATCAACAGTAGTGAACCACCGTCCATCTGCTACATAGGCCAATATGAAGACGTTCCACTCTCGAGGAATTCAGCTCCGAGGACTCAGATTCACTCACACAAGAAAACGAAACAGTGATAGCTTCTCAAGAGGAGAGCACTCGTCGACTATCAACACGAAATCGACTGCACCAGATGCTTTCTGTCTCAATATGGACGTTCCTCACCCGACGAATTCAACTCTGTGCATCCAGCTTCACGCACAAAAAGAAATATAAGTAATGATTCACCTCTTACGATGGACGCCATCAACAACACGAGTCGAGCGCACGAGATGGTCTCTCTCCGATACATGGAGGTTTCCTCTCTCGAGGAATTCAACTCCGAGGAATCAGCTTTAAACACAAAACGAGACAGCACTTCACCTCTTACGATAACATCCATCAACAACAAAATCGAGTGCACGCTGAACGTCATATCCTGACGAGACGGCCGTCCCGTGCCAAGACATTTGTTGCTTCACGTATGGGCTTTCGAACACTTATTTTATGTCTCTTGTTTTGTGCAGTAAGACCATAAGAAACGACGACGCTCACCTCTAACGGGTGATTATGGCCACAAGGCCGCTTAGCAAAATGAACTACTGGTGAACTCCAAAATTCCATACCTGAAAATATTAAAACTTCATTCTTTCTGGAGAAGCGCAATGAGGTGGTGCTGGTTGGCTGGTGCAAGGCCGAACACACGTGGGGCCTCTGCCTGTGTTATACCACGCGTACTGCTGCTACCTACCGTAGACGACGCAATTTCGATTCTCGTGGTGGTCTAGAAAACACGGGGAGGGAGGGCGGGGGTGCCTTCTCTCGTACCCAAACGCTTAGCGTGGCGCCCTCTCTCATGCAGGAACGCTGCATCGCGTACCGCTGTGGACGGCGCGGGTTCCTTCTCTCTCGTGACCGTGTAGACAACTCGGGGAGGGTAATGCTGCCTTCTCTCGTGGAGAAACGCTGCCGTGGCGCAGGACAAGCGAGCGGACATAGCTTCGTCCACCTTGTCGAAGACTCTGTTAACCCCGTACAGCAGCACCACCATCTTCGTGATGGTGCGGGAAGAAAGCGGAGAAGGTTTGGCAATGGTGCAAGCAGAGTGGCATGGTGAGGATTTCAAGAGGAAGCTGCTCGGGGTTCATCAAGGGCAGCACGCTGCCCCTAGCCCACACCCACACCCAACCACACGGCTTTGCCTTCGCCGCCGTCTCTGGATTACATGTGCGCGGGGAAAGCAAATACTAGTAGGAAAAAGTGGGTGTTTTTCTGTTAAATCTGGAATATTTGGGGTACGGAAACGAGGTCGCGATCTCTGGACGAGGTGGACAAAAAAATAAAGCTGGCAAACAAATCATATTCAGTTCAGTATTTTGTCTGGTAATTTTACGGTCAGCATAAGAAAGCTTCAACCTGCTCTGGTTCTGTCGTCGATAACACAACAAAAACCACCACGAACCCTCCGAACAGCTTTCAATCATTCTTTCCTACCGCGGTGTACTACCTGTTTGTTTTTGCAACACCGGCGAACCGGCGGGGCGGCAACATGCATGCATGCGTTCAGCAGCAGAAGACGTGGTGGATGATACACACACACAACAGTGAACCGTGGCATTCGGACAGAACGAAAAAAAACATGATGATGCCGATGCCGCCGTTTCGCTATTATTCTAGCAATCACTCAAAAACCAATCACCGCGCTCACCAGAAATATGGCCACGAACTGGACAAGGTGCGGCAGGTTGTTCCAAATGCACCTGAAGCCCAACGGAAGCTCAACCAGCACTGCACGGCACGGATCAAAGGCAATGTCACGGGTGAAGGAGGAATCGTTTTAGCTCCTTCGTTCGTGGCCGACAAAGGTCGAAGACTTTCAGCAGAAATAACGGAAACACACACAACACGGTAAAGCAGGAGCACCGCCGCGAATGCAAGAAAAAACAAGGTACTTCTCGTGCTGTGCTGGTGGCACCCAGTAGCAAGGCGCATGAGACTGCTAGAAGACTCACTGTTGCTTTCCACGTTGCCCAGTTTGATGGCTGAGGCAAACGCCAAGGCCAGCAGACCAACGACCCGACCACCGCCACGAGAACCGCTGGTGGCAAAACACGAACCAAGCAAGCAAGCAAGCGTAGGAACGGGGGAAATATCGAGTTGACGAAAGGGACCGCTAGAATTACTCCATCATTGTAACAGTAGCGTATGTAGACCAGATCGGTCTCGTCGTGTTGTGCAAGTCAGTAATTGCCACAGTAGAACAACACCCCTTGCCTGTTCAGGTCAATCGCAGGGATAAATTAATATGTAGTCTAGTGCAAATATGTAGCTCCCGAACAAAATGCGCAACAATAGGCCCTTTCGGCAAATAAAAAGTGGCTTCAGAGAGCAGCAGGATAACCTCCTTCTCGACCTCCTCCTTACCTTGACCCAGCCGCCGTGGTTGGGCGTGAGGCTATCTGCCGGACCCCGTCTTTTGGTCTCGGTATTTTTTCGTCCCACGAGGACCCGTCTTTGCTCGTTCCGGCGGCAAGGGAAACCGACCTCGCGTCGCAAACCATGGACACTTCAGGACGAACAACAACCGGCACGCCCATCGTCCCCTGAGACTCAACGACCCCCGCTTGTGCTTGATCGGTCGACCTGGCGGGCGCGGGCAGCAGGTGTTTTTTTGTCTGGTCGTTGGTCGGGTCACAGGCGAACGAAAACGAAAGAAGGAATGCGTTCAACCGTTTGCAGACGGGAAATTGCTAGCTACGGCAGGGGGGGGGGGGGGGGGGGGGGGGGGGGGGGGGGGGGGGCTACGAGGAGCTGACAGAACACCCGGCGAATGAGAATTGAACGCGCAGTCTTGGAGTGTCTCACGCGAGCTGATCTCGATGACCTATCCAAGGATTCAAACTTGAGCGGAACCGCGCCAACTATACGTGGTGAGGACTTCGCGATTTCTAAAGCTGACATATATATACAACAAACGTCGAGGGCCATCAGAAAATGAGTCCCCCCGGTCGGTGCCGACCCTCCAGCCTCTTCCCAAAAAAAACAATCCACTACTCTGTCGTCGTGGTTCTCATGGATTGATCGGAGACAGCACACCCTACCTACCGAAAGGGGATACTTCAAGTAGTTTTTCTTCTCGTTTCGGCGACTACCACTCCCCCCGCCCCCGGCGTGTATCCCGACGAAGGAGCGGGGTGGACAGTGAATGAACCGTGAAAAGCGGCATGAGAGCCGGGCGGAAACCGGCGGCGACGCTGCCGACGACGCGGCCGGACATATTTTTCTTTTTTCTGCTGTTTCGTTGCATTTGTTCTTTTTATGTTAGAGACAGACGCCCCGCGCCTGCTTGTTGGTGCCATGGTAGGGATTGAGCTTCTTATGTTGAAAATAAAACCCACACAACACACCGACGACGCGACATATTTTTTTGCCTCGTCGCCCTGTTACAATTCACTACCCTCGCGGTTTCCGTCTACATAGAGTACAAGTGGATGTTCGGATCTACAATACTATAGGAACAGGGGGTGGCAGTGTCGAGGGTCCGGGGGAACATGGGCTTGAATGGGGGTTGCCTCAGAAAGAGCAAGACGGCGGGTGTTTCTCTCTTGGTTTGACCGGTGGCAACATCGATCAGCAATGCCGCACAGACTTTTGCGCGCCGAAACATGCGTGCGACAGCTTTAACCTAACCACTTCGGTGGAAAGAGGATTTCTGTTCGATACGGTGTCGGGAGTGCTGAGGGGGAAGGGCTTGACCCTTGTGCTTGCAGATGGCGAGGAAGTAGGAACAGGGGGTGGCGGTGTCGGGGGTCCGGGGGAACATGGGCTTGAGTGGGGGGTGCCTCAGAAAGAGCAAGACGGCGGGTGTTTCTCTCTTGGTTTGACCGGTGGCAGTATCGATCAGCAATGCCGCACAGACTTTTGCGCGCCGAAATATGCGTGCGACAGCTTTAACCTAACCACTTCGGTGGAAAGCGGATTTCTGTTCGATACGGTGTCAGGGGTACCAGGGAAGACGGGGCCGACTTTTGTTTTATTTCGGGTGGATGAGGTTGGGGTTTTGTTCGTTTTTCTCCATCTAAGGTTCGTGCCTAGAGTTCAGCTGTAGTGTTTCAAGCAAAGTTTTATTGACTTAGAGGTAATCATTCCTAGGTATTGGGGATCGAGTTAAGTTGGCTAGCCATGACGGCCTTTACGATCGACTTTTTATGTATGTCTGCATTTATCTGCANAATTCTGTTCGATACGGTGTCAGGGGTACCAGGGAAGACGGGGCCGACTTTTGTTTTATTTCGGGTGGATGAGGTTGGGGTTTTGTTCGTTTTTCTCCATCTAAGGTTCGTGCCTAGAGTTCAGCTGTAGTGTTTCAACCAAAGTTTTGTTGACTTAGAGGCAAACATTCCTAGCTATTGGGCATCGAGTTAATTTGGCTTGGCATGACGGCCTTTACGATCGACTTTTTATGTATGTCTGCATTTATCTGCAATTGTCGGAGGGCAAACAAAATAATAATAATATTTTCGTTTCTTTCTCTCTTTTTTTGCGAATTTTTCTGCGGAGAGAGAGAAGCGTTGCTGAGAAAAATTAAATAAATCGGGGACGAGTGCTCTGTGCTGATTCATTCAGCTGCCGGTACAGAAGAATAACGCGCGGTCTTCCAGGGGCACCGCAGCAGCGAGGGGCACCCAACCAACCGTTCGCAGCAACTCGACGCTATACATAAGAACAAAACAAAAAAGGCTCGGTGATTAGTTGCGCTCTCTGGAAGAGACACGCGGCGGTTCCCGCGTTGATTCGTCACAGAACAACGAGAACAACATATTATGCGAGACAATAAGCCAGACCCGCGGGGTGCTCCAGACACGCTTGCTTGCGCCCGCGTCGTCCTCGGCGTCGCAACACATGTTTCTGTGGCTGGGAGGTGCCCGCCTAGCATGAATGCCGTTGCCATCCGAACAACCATGTGAATGTACGTACGAATGTTGTTGTGGTTGAACCACTGCAAGCAACTAACTCCAGACCAAATAATAATAATGTTGAACGGCCAACAAGCCTCAGTAACGCTGAGGCCATTCACAGGCAGCGCAGGGAATCATCACATCATCACCAGAGCCCACAGGATGGTACCACCGTATGCCCAGTAGACTTGCCCCAAGCATGTGTGGCTCCCCCGGCCGTAATAATTCCTTTCCCGAAACCGAACAGAAATTAAAATCAACCGGCGATTGCGGGGCTCGAAAAGTGTGTGATATGCAGCCAGCCATAAAGGTCCCGCGCGACGCTGTGCGCTGCTGCAGTCTGCGCGAATTCGATGCCGTTACTTGATTGTGGTAGAGAAACAGCGACTGAAAAATGTCGGACGCACACATCCTTGCCGATGATTGTTTTGGTCGGCATCAATATCCATCCGATCCGTGATTGCGACAATCCCTGAAAGCTCTCGTTCTTCACCTCGCCACAACAGTCAAGTCGCTGCATCACCATGTACGTACGCACAATACCAACGCTCACCGATTAGACTACTGCTGCGCGGAGAAGATGCTCCCGGGAGGATGGGGGGCTGCGGTGAGTGCCTGTGTGTGGGTACAACTTCGTGCTACGGCAGTTTGCGCGCCAAAAAGCTGGAAAAAAAAGAGCCAGCCACACAGCAGGGTAGAGTAAACCGGCCAATTAAGGAACGCTTAAGCCACCTCTCGCGCCAACAGCTCGTTTTCGGGCGTGAGAACGCATTTCAAGCGTTTTTAAGTATCGGACGATGGGGTACATTGTAGGCTACTTCTCTAAAAAAAAATCGCAAGGGCAGGTGAGATAGAGCTGATGCAGTGCACCTCAGAGTTTAACGAAACATGGTGGAACCCCCCCCCCGCCCAATTAAGGAACACGTTAGCTTTGTGGCTGATTTCGTACGTTCTGAAGCGTTTCATGATCTGATTTTTTGTGTACATGCGTCTGTTGCAACATGTGTCCATTTGAGGAAAAAAGATTGGAATTGATCCACGCTCGGGGAAAAAATTCTCACATCCCCAGGTTTTCCCGGCTGAAATCGGGGACGGATTTTACCCCATTTTTGACCGTACGGCGGTGCTGCGCACATGAATAGAGCCAGAACTAAGAGATTAATGCATAGTTGGTCCATTGTGGTCATGTATCGACTCCCTGAAAAGAAAATAGGACGAAAAACGTTACGTAGGTGATGTAATGCCCGTTCAAACAGCCATACCTTGACTGGCCGCTACGGTAAGAATTCTCCGCGGGGACCCCAAGGCCATTTCCCTTGTTTCACATTCACCTTACACTCCCACAACGTGCCTTTTTGTGGGTAGGTGTTTTCTATGACAAGGAACGTTGTTGCAAAAAAGAAAACATCCATGCATACCGGGGGACAAAATGGCCATATCCCCGGTTTCGCGGCAAAATCAAGGTATCGCCCCGCCCCCCCCGACCTGGTCCTGGAGTGCACCCCAGGCATCGCTGCATAGCCCTAGAAACAACCCCAAGCTTCTACTAGGCACATCAATTTGACTGTAAGAAACAACTATGTCGTCTGGAGCTCATTTGACCTCTTTACATAGACTACATACATTCAAGCACGTAAACTGGGCCAGGCAAAAAGCAGTTTGGCACTGCGGTGAGACTTCTCGCAGAAAACCGCACCTGTTTCCCACCACTCGAATGCCCCGTCGAAAGGTTCGTTCAAGACGATCAGCTCAAGTCGCGACGCAGCAAAAAGAAAACAATAGCCCTTCAGGCCCGGGGACAGCATTTCAACGTCCCGGGGCTCCGGAGAACACCTCTACACCCCCCATCCCCCCTCCCCCCCGTGGGACGCTCGAAAACTACCCCCAAGAGCTGTTGAAGCACAAACCTGGAATGCATATCGGCACCTCGACACTCAACTGACCTTTTCTGTATGTCTCACTCGAATAATTGATCCTTCACTCGAATAAAAAAACGATAACCGTACAGCATCTAGTCTACACATCAACGATTGGTGTCGGGGTTTGTTTCCGTCCTCGAGAGGACGAAGGGGCCGCCGGCGGCGGCGGCTGAACCAAGGGAACCACCGCCCCTCTCGGCCGTCCCGCTCCTCCTTGGACGCGAGCACCGGCCCCCACTCGCCGACCAGCCCCCCTTCCCTCTCCGCGAGCTCCAGCGGGGCGGCCCCGGCCACCCTGTCCCTGGCCGCGCCCGTCTCGCCCTTCCTGACCCCCACCACAGCCGCGCCCCCCAACCTCCGNCTCCTCCCTGCGCCTCGCCCTCCAGCTCCCCGCCCGCCGCACCCGCCTCCCCGCCCGCCGCTCCGCCCGCCGCCCTGCCCAAGATTGGCCTCCCCCGCTGCCCTTGCATCTGTACGGGCCTTGGCGTTGTCCGCCTTTACTTTCTCAGCTGCCTCCTTCTCTTCTTTGTCCTTCCTGGCCTTAGCAAGGTGTTCTTCGGCGGACTGGAGACCGCCCTCGGGCTTTCTCCCCGCCCGCCCGAACGGTCGCGAAAGACTTGGAGTGCTCGGTGAGGCGGGTGAGCCCGCCGAGGAACACGCTGTTCACGCGGAGCCCCTCGATCATCACTCCCTGTCGTTTCAGCTCCAGGAGGGCAGCGTGGCTGAGATCTTCTTCGAACTGCTTCTTGGAGGCAACGACGGCGAGGTCTTCAGGGATAGGGCGGTCATTCTCCCATTGCTTCCTCTTGCTGTGTAGTCGGCTGATGGCCTTTTCCATGTTCACCGGCCACAAACCCGCCCCTTTGAACGCCGCCATGTTGTTCGCAGGCGTGAAGCTCCTTCTCCATGCCTCCGCAATCACGCCAGCCATGTCGCGCTTCACCGGACTCCTTCCCCCGATTTTCAGTGGGTAGGCCGTGAGCACCCTGGTGAGCTCCTTCTTGAAGGTTCCGAAGGTACCAACCTCCAAGGGCTGGGTGATGTGCGATGTGTGGGACGGGAGCTGGAAGAGGTCGATGTCCAGAGAGATGGCCAAGCTGATGGCGTCGAAGGTCGTGTGCGAGGCGTGGCCGTCGAGCACAAGGGCACCTTTGCCCTGCAAGCCGCGTGCATCGAGCTGTTCGCGGAGGTCTCGAAGGTAGTCGAGGAACACGTGGCTCTGGACGAAGGATGACCCCGTGACGGTGTACTTCGCATCGGGGACGCTGTTCTGTCCTGGATCCAAGCGGGTTGCATGCGCTGGCCTTTGTAGATGATGATAGGGTTGTAGGTGTGGCCGTCGGCGCCGATGCTGGCGACCACCGTCGTATTTTCTCGCGAGTTGGAGCGCCTCGCGCCGGGTACCTTGGTGCCTGTTGACACGATAGCCTTCCCCGACTTTGTACCTTGCGGAGTGGAACCTACAATACACACCGGAGAACGCGCGTGCATCGGGGGTGGAGGCAGTCGAACAATCAGTAGAGTACACACACTTTCGCAGCAGCAGCGCTCGCACACACAAAAAAGCGCGCGCACACACGCAAATGAGCGCAGCTCGCACCGGGCGGTGGCACACAGCGGTGGTGACGGGACCATTTTTTTTCTTAAACAGCAGTCGGATTCGTTTAGACTTTGGGTGTGAATCAACAACCCCACACCCATGAAAGTTTACATTGAGCTCGAAACCAAGGTGGGTTTACAAAAGCAAAGCGTCCTACTCAAGTCTCGGCCTGACTGCACTTTGCACAGCATTAGCAACGCACGTGCATGCGGACCAACACCGCCCACGCCCGCTGTCGCGTGTGGCACACAACAAAAACACCGTGTAGAATATCGTACATGAGCCCTACCATTTCTGTGCTAGAGTATAACTGAGATGACCACAGGGATTGTTGCATGCTGAACCCTCAACCGGACCCAGCATCATATGCGCGTTGTGTGCTACAAGCGTGGCCAGCAGCAGCGGCCTCGGAAAGATATGCGGAACAACTGCTGTTTTTTTTTTTTGCAGCAGCAGCAGCTCCGCTTTGTTGTGACAAACATCGCACATCGCAGTGCTGCTGGTACTTCGCCTACGAACCCACAGCAGTCGATACTGACACCACTGACACCTCAGCCCTTGCCCTAACTCACTTGTCTCGTCCGTGTTGATGATGCGGTCCGGCGTGAGCTTGGTCTCCGCGAGGTACGCTTCCCATGTCTCGTGGAAGGCTTCAAGGCGAGGCTCGTCGTCTTCGTTGATCCGGTTTGCTTCGTAGATGTGGGTGGCTCGCTCCGACAACCCCGGGTGCCTCGCCATGAATCTCTCAAACCAGCTGTCCCCCGGGCCCTTGTCTGGGTCCCAGGGCACCTTGCGTCTGTCGAGGCAGAGCTTCCGCACAGCTTCTTTCAGCTCCCTCCGATCCAACAGCAAGAAGTAGTGTCGGGAGGCGTAGATCAACACATCTTCTACGAATCTTCCTCCTCCTTGTACAGGACAGTCCCGCGACCAACCCTCGCATCGATGGCCACCTCCTCCTTCACACGGCGGTGGAGCGAGGTCGGGTTCAACCCGTAGGTGTCCGCAGCAACCCTAAACGACATCTCACCGCTGCGTACTGCATCGACAGCCTTCTGGGCCCGCTCTGGGTCTACTCTCGCCCGTCCCATGCTTAGCAGCAGGACCCCAGCAAGGGCAAAGATGGTCCATATGGTGTGGGTGGGGGCTGTTCTGTAGCTCGGCAGTGCATGACCCGATCGGCACGCTGAAGTGCTCAAGCGAGAGCTAACGGAAAGCTAAAAAAACTCAAGAAAAATCAGGGTTCCCCGCGAAACGTGCGCGGAGATACGTTTTACTAGACTAGTCTATAGTGTAAACGGTTTGTGAGGAAAGGAAACTGAAAACTATTTGCCGCCCGTTCCCCTCACCGCTTCCAACAAACTGCACCGTATGTTGTCCGGGACGAGACGTCCAACGTTGAATTTTTCTCTCTGGCCGTTCTCGTGATGGACTTTTTTATTGTCGGCAGCACATGCCATGCCCCCATGTTCTACCCGACCTTCGGTGAGGGTGGGTCTCGCTGCTGTTCCATATGTGATCGGGTGCTGTTGTGCTGTCGCACACCTCCACCGTCTACAGAAAAAAATTACTTGCAGCATCCCTGCGGACTGCTATGAGATATTCCTCATGACAACGGCGGATCAAGCATACGCTCGTCTCCTTCTACAGTCAGTCGCACAGCAGCTGCACAAGACAGCGTGGGCATACAACCGTATGTAGCCTCGGCATACATGTCATACGAGGGAGCCAGTTCATTTCAAAGAAGTGCCAACTGCTCCTGTCGGCAAGTCCCCCGGAACAAAGAAAAAACAGAAGGGTATAGCCGCGATCATGGCGGATGGAGAATTAATCTACATCCTGCATTGTTGTATCCTTTCGTGGTGTTGCCTCTGCGCGCCCGTGTTTGTCCGTCGTGACCACACTCACCTGTTGCTTTTCTCCCCGTCGTGAGTTAGAGTAAAGAGTGCTGTGCTGTGGTGCGACATTGTTCGCGGTCGGAGATCTTCATAATCTCACCGAAGGCGTTACGGTGTTTCGCAGAACGCCGCACAGAAAGTGGAGAAGATTCCTCGCGGTGCTGAACACGCATGCGTGCAACCCGGAAAAAATCAGAAAAATCCCTGCGCCACAGTCGGTCGCAGCGCTGCCCAACTACAGCAGTTGTTGTTGTTGTTGTTGTTGTTGTTGTTGTTGTCTTCACATTAAACCGTATGTCAGTTGCCAAATGCCAAAATCTAGCAAAAGACTCTCAGCCCGTGGTCACGAAAGCGCTAGAGCCATCTGAGGATCTAATGAACACGCACACATATAACGAGAAAAAGGTATCCAAGAGCCCGAAGAGGTAATCTACACCTAAAAATCCCTGCAGCACCATATGCGTGCCCAAAAACTGAACTGCACGTCCGTCCCACCGTTCGACTACAGTAGCATCACCCCCTCCCTGTCCCACTCTATACCAAAACGGAAGATCGCCGACTACAGCATACTGCTGTCTGAAGTGCTGTCTGTACAAAAACACGATGGTAGGCATGGAACAAGCAGCTGGCGGGGCACAAAGCTGTTGTCTGAAGTGCTGTCAGAATGCGTCTGCGGCCGTACAGTGAAAAAGAACAACCAACCAAAGCCATCATAGCAGCAATTGACAATCACCCGAATCTCTCCCGATCGTCTGTGTAGGCACTGCAGTGAAAAATATCGACACTAGCTAAGAATCGTTCCACATTGAAGGGGTCTTCCACGATCAGGCACAAAACCGATGCACCCGGGTTAGCCACGCCATCTCTGACGGGTCTCTC